GTGTGTGTGTGTGACTCAGTGGGCAGCGTGCTTGCCTAAGACACATGAAGACCTGGGTTCTATCCCCAGCGCAGCACTGGGTGGTATGGTACCGTGTGCCTGTAATCCTAGAACTCGGGAGTTGGAAGCAACAGACTTACACTTCAAGGTCATCCATGGCCACGCTGGGCTCCAGGACAGTCTTGCAGGAGGCAGGACATTCAGTAGGGTATGGACGTGGGGACACACCCCTGTGGAGGAGCTCAAGTTCAAGGCCAGCCTTCAGCACAATAAAATAAGAGAGGTTTTGAAGCGTGATCTGCCACGTGAATCTGTGTCTGAACATCAGAGTGTTCCATGCACTTAAGCAATTATTTTATTCTCCGTAAGAGTGAAATTTGTCCACTAAAGTTTAAGGGTTTCTTCGCAGAGAGATTTCTCTTAGGAAAAATTAAATGAGGCACTGATGCTGAGACCGAGCAATGAGAAGGAGCCAATTTGGATTTTCAAATTGTAAATCAATTTGAAAAATATTAACTGCGGGTTTCTTCAAGGATGGCATCATTAAAAGTCCCCGTCTCCGTTTTCACTTAATCTCTTTGTCATAGTTTCTTTTTTTAATGATTTTTTTATTTTCAACATTACTATTTCACTTGTATTTTCTACTGTCAATCAAATACCTTTGAGGAGCCCTACAAGAGGAGTCCATTGTCACGTGCTCCTTATCCCTGCTCACCACAGGGGCAAATCTCCCAGACCTCTCAGCTTTCGTTCGTTCCAGAAGAGAATGTGTGTATGTACATGAACATGCCTTGAAACCAGGTGTCGTGGGAACCTGTGTGGAGTGGCCAAGGGTGTTGCTCAACAGCCTGTCAATCTCAGATAGAATGTAGTCTTCAGATATGCGCAGTGTTGAGGGTGGGCGACCAGACCTGCATCGAGCTCTCCAAAACATCTGTGCTGTGAAGAGCCACACCACCTGGGTGTGGGCTCTCTCCACAGTACCTGGGGGACTCTCCACAGCACCAGGGGGACTCTCCACAGCACCAGGGACCTAACACCCCAGCCTCTTGCTATCCCCTTCCTATCATCATAACGTGCTTCTTGATGCAGTGTGACGGAACATCCCAAAAAGAGCAGAAGATACAGGAAGGGTGGAGCAGGGGCTGGGGAAAGGAACCACTGACCCAAACAATTCAGCAGAGGGATAAAAAACCCAGTTTGGCTGTCCTAATGAGGGTCACAATTGCTGCGATGAAACACCATGGCCAAAGCAACTTGGGCAGGAAGGGTTTGTTTGACTTACACTTCCACATCACTGTTCACCACTGAAGGAAGTAAGAAGAACTTAAGTCTGGCAGGAACCTGGAGGCAGGATACAGAAGCCATGGAGAGGTGCTGTTTACTGACTTGCTCCTCATGACTTGCTCAGCCTGCTTTCTTATAGAACCCAGGACCACCAGCCCAGGAATAGCACACTTGTGATGGCACCACCTACAGTGGGCGGGGCCCACCCAGCCCACCCAACCCACCCACATCAATCACTAATTAAGAAAATGCCCTGCAGCTGGATCTTAGTGGGGGCATTTTCTCATCTGAAGCTCCCTCCTTTCAGATGACTCTAGCTTCTGCAAGTTGACATAAAACTAGCCAGCACAATGACCAAAGTTAAAGTACAGAGAATTCTAAACAACTGTTGGTGACTCCTTAATGAATATGAAAATAATGCTCTATCTTTTCTGCCTGGCTCTCCCTCCCAAACTCTTCTTAATGAACATAGCCTACAACTTTTTAGATATGTAATTAAATGGTTTATTTGTTTCCTTTTTTCTCACAGTAGCACAACATATTAGGGGGTAGAAAAAGGCTTTTGAAGCAACAAAGTTAGGGCTTCAACAGAGACTGAGAGTCTGTAATGTCACTTTCTCTGGTTTCTTTCTTCCTTAACCCAGTTTATGTAATCCACTGCAGGCAAAGAAAATGGAACACTCTTTATGGCCTTCCTTAATTTTCTACTTTTAATTTTCTTCCAGGATCTTATTTTAAAGCCTCCCCCAGGGGGAGACACTAGAGAAAAACATAAAGTGGTACTTCCCTCCTTTTCCTCCTTCTCCTCCTTCTAAGTTAACGGGGCAAGGGGAACAGCACCTATTGGCCCAAAATGACTTAAGATCAAGTCTCCGCCCACCGACCCTCAGTACACTGACCTTCCATAGACACCATGCCTTCCATCTCTCCGTGCTGGGATATGAAGAACTTCGTCATTGTTTGTTTGGTTTTGAGGCGGGGTCTCAAGTCGTTCCAACTGGGCTGGAACTTCTGACCCTCTCGCCTCCGTCTCTCAGATCCTTGGATCACAATCGCACAGCACCACCAGGCTTAGCTACTCCCAGGGACTTTGCCCTTGGGGTCAGCTTCGTGTCTAGACTGTAAGACAAGGCCCTCATATCTGGAATTTGAAAGCAGTTGCACTCAGATGCCCTGTGAATCTGCCTCTAAATTGCCAAGATGTTTAGCAGTTTGCATCATTCCTTGACAGGAGCAACAGCATCCATTACCTTCCTGTCACCTGGGACCCACCTGGGAGAAACAGCTGCGGCCGTCAAGTTATTCTGCTTGCAGGGGGCACATCACATGTACACACACAGTATGTACATGCATACATGCATGCATGCATTCATACATACACACACAACTTTTAAAAATAAATGATTTGTGGCAGTTAAGAGCTCCTGCTGCAAGCCAGGTTTAATGGCGGATGTCTTTAATCCCAGCACTCGGGAGGCAGAGGCAGACGGATCTCTGTGAGTTCAGGGCCAGCCTGGTCTACAGAGCGAGTTCCAGGATAAGAGTAAGGAATAAAACCCCTGACAAAAAATAAAAAGTAAGTAAAGAAATCAAGCAAGTGCCTCTATGCTTTTCGAGCTGAGGTCACTGATAGGTTACTCGCAGGAAATGTAACAGCAAGAGGGAAGAAGATTGTTCCTTAGTTTTCCTCTTTTTCTCCCCTTCCGGCTTTAGAATTTTCTACATTGATTTGTGTTTGGGGGAGGGCCGCACACGTCACAGCCTGAACATGGCAGTCAGAGGACACTTTAGAAGAATTAGTTCCCCCTCCCTTTGTATAAGCCCCAGCTCCTCGGGCTCAGGAGCAAGCACCTTTTCTTGCTGAGCCACCTTACTCAGGGTTAGGTTTTTGAGAGTCTCAGTATATAGTCCAGGCGAGCTTCAAACTCAAAACTCAGTCACCCCCAGTGCTGATGCATTCAGCTATCCTGCCTGGCCTTCCGATTCGTTTCTATTCCCGTTTTCTCACCATGAAAACATTCACTTCTTTCGACTCAAAAACTAGAGCTGGGAGGTGAGCTGATGAAACCCCAACATACTGAAAAGCTCTAGATATTCAACGGTTATCCGGGTGTTTTGTACCACTGAATAAAACTGGAAAGCAAGTCCATGTTCAAGACGATAAGAGTGGGTTAGCAAACTACAGCCACACTGTCCATCATCAGACACAAATCCAACAATGTTTTCCACTGAAAAATTCAACAAGAGGCACTAGGCCAAACCAGTGGCTATGTGGACCTCAGCAAACACATGAAAAAAAAGAAGACGCACATGAGCAGAAATAGAGCCAACTATGAATGAGTGCTCTCTCTGGGGGAGAGAACACAAGTTATATTTTTCCAGAAATTCTTATTGGTGAAATATAGATTATGTGTTTGTTTTTCTTTTTTTAAGATTTATTTCTTTCCTATGTACATAGTGTTCTGCCTGAATACATGCCTGCCAGAAGAGGACACCAGATCTCATTACAGATGGGTGTGAGCCATCATGTGGTCTCTGGGAATTGAACTCAGAACCTCCTGAAAAGCAGTCAGTGCTCTTAACCTCTGCGCCATTTCTGATGTGGGATTCCCCTCTGTATGCAATGAATATGTTTTATTATCATTGGTTAATAAAGAAGTTACTTTGGCCTAGGGCAGGGCAGAGTAAAGCCAGGCAGGAAATCAGAACAGAGATATATAGAGGGAGTATGTGGAGTCAGGGAGACGCCATGCAGCTGCCAAAGGAGAAGGACGCCAGAACCTTACTGGTAGGCCGCAGCCTTGTGGTGATACACAGATTAATAGAAATGGGTTAATTTAAGATGTAAAAGTTTCACAATCCCAGAGAACCTAGAGACCCTAAGAGAAACGTACATGGACTAATCTACATGGGAAGTAGAAAAAGACAAGATCTCCTGAGTAAATTGGGAGCATGGGAACCATGGAAGAGGGTTGTAGGGGAGGGGAGAGACAGGGAGGGGAGCAGAGAAAAAGTATAGCTCAATAAAAAAAAAGATTAAAAAGATGTAAAAGTTATCTAGGAATACACCTAAGCTATTGACCAAACAGTGCTGTAATTAGTATAATTTCTGTGTGATTATTTGGGTCTGGGCTGCCGGGAAAGGAACTCACAGTCTCTATTTGCATTTGCCCGATGTGGGGCCCAACACGGTCTTCATTTACACATTAAAAAAAAAAGCAAACTGGGCCTAGAGGGATGGCTCAAAGGTTAAAAGCACTGACTGCTCTTCCTGAGGTCCTGGGTTCAATTCCCAACAACCACAAGTGGCTCCCAACCATCTATAATGATATCTGGTGCCCTCCTCTGGTGTGCAGGCATCCTTGCAGGCAGAAGATTGTATATATAATAAATAAATCTTTAAAAAAAAGAAAATAAAGCACGCTGAAAAGCCATGAGGAGCAAGCCAGTAAGTGCTACTCATTCACAGCCTCTGCTTTAGCTCTTGCCTCCAGGTTACCTGCCTTGAGTTCCTGTCCTGACTTCCCTCAGGAATGGACTATGATGTGGAAGCCAAGAAAACCCTCTCCTCCCCAAGTTGCTTTTGGTCCGTGGTCTTCATCACAGCAATAGAAAGCAAGCGAGGGCAGACAGCCAGCTGGAAAAGATAGCTGCCCACAGTGGCCACTACTCTAGAAATAACACTGTTTTCTCTGTTCTGATTGTCTCTGCAGGACAAATGCCTTAGCCTGGATCTTCCTGCCTGGATCTCCCTCACTCAGCCCTTCTCCGTTCGTTGCACCCTTGCTTCTGACATTGGACCACTGACCTCTTCCTGACACCCAGCTCCAAGAAGACTGCAGAAAAAGAAAAAGAAAAAAAAAATCCCACCAACCATTTCTCTTCATCCTCACTAACAATTTGGTAATGAAGTATTGATTCCCACTTCTCTCCTTATGGACGATATTAGATTTTCATTGATAAACTGCAATGGGACTGTCGCATCTCCGAGGCCCTCTTCACCGTCAGGAAGAAACAAAGTGCCACCGAGGAAAAATAATGACTGGGAGCATTGACGCACTTATTTTGTCAGTTTGTAACAGGAAAGGGAGGGGGCACATCACTCTTCATGGTTTAATGTCCAAATGGGCTGCTCTTGGGAGTTTGCTTTTCATGGTAACGTCCATTTCCTATTTATAACCCCCCTGGGAACGTTTGTCTAAAGGAAATGTTTCTGTTCAGTGTAACAATTAAGGTTGCACCTGGATTCCCTAGTCCTGCCCCTGCACCGGGGAGCCATTAATCACTGCAGAGTAGAAGAGTTATTAAGTTAAACCGGAGTTTGAGCCAAGAAAACCTCCCAACCATGTTCATCTTCTGTGAAAGTTGTTGGAATAGACAGGCTTAACCGTGTTGCTGCCAAAGGCTTTTTCCTGTGGAGTGCGTCCTCCATGGTTATCTTGAGTGGTTTTGTAAGCTTAGCTCCCAGCATGCACCACTGTAGGATGAGCCCTGCAAACTGGGAGCCCTGCAGACTAGAACCCCAGAGAAAGCAAGATGGCAAGGCATCACCGAGAGTGCCAGGTGAAGTGGACACCTTCACTGGCAATCCCTCCTTCCCGGACCTGTTGCCTCTCAAGTGCAGCTTCTCCTTTGAACCAGCAGAATGCATGAAAACAGGGTGTCCGTTTTAAACGTGTTCCTGCAACTTTTTTCATTAAAACTTTAAGGGCCCAATTTTAATTTGTGGAATATTCCCGTTAATAATGAGATCTAATTAAGACATCCATTAAAAGCCCGTTAAAGTTAATTTAACGTAAAAATTCCAATAGAACTGTATTAGATTTTCTCCATTAAATTAACGTTATGGATTTTTAACGGATGTCTTAATTACACGTTATTATTAACGGGAATACTGTATTACACAGATTAAAATCAGGTCCTAAGTCAACTTGGAAAAGCTAAGAGCATGTTTTAATATTAAAGTCTCACAGACCTAGTACACAGCTTGGAAGCGCAGGGGAAGATGCGGTTATTCTAGCTGAGCATTTTCTGTACAATGGAGAGTAATCTATAATAGATAAATCCATCATTTCGTTTAAACAATGGTCTCTTTATTCTCATAGGACAGCCAAGTCTGGATTGTATTGTAAACTGCTACTCAGCTATAGGTGAAATATTTAAACTATTCTCAGCACAATATTCTGAAACAAATGACTATTTTGTGTTGTTGTTTTAATTACCAAGGTTATCCAAAAGAAAAAGGGGGGGGAGACTGACAAAATGAAGCCAAATACATCCTTTTCACCATTTATTATAAAGGCTGCCTGTTGGAAATGTCTTGGAAATTTTGACATGATCCCTAAATTCGACACTGGGATTTAAAATAAAATTTGAAGAAAAAAAAAGAAAAAAAAAACTTATTTACCTCCTAAGGAAAGTGTTGCCCTTATGCCACATATAATAGCAAATTGCTTTTTTTATGGCATGCATAACCTAGATGGGGAAAAATATGGTGCTTCAGGGAAGGAGGGGAAAAGTAAATGAAGTTCCAGGAATGTCATTCTGAAGTAATGAGGCATGGACGGAAAATATACCCCGCACATCATCGGATTGAGATGGCAGGCGAAATAGCTTCATTGAAGTGTCAGCACTCATCCATCAATCAATCACCCACAAGGAAAAATAACAACAGTACAACGGAGCGGCTTTTATGGGATTTACTCATGGGCACAGGGAACAGCGGCTCGGATGTAGTTCTGACATGAAAAGCAAGGTGCTGATATTATTTTTTATGATGGGAGGATCATAAAGTGAATTGAGAACAGAGAGAGGTCTGTCTGCTTAACCTGTTCAACCAGAAATGAACGGAACTCAGCTGGAAAGGACCGTCTTCGGATGGGTTAAGATGGAAGGGTGGGCTCGGCTGAGCTCTGTCCTTCAACGGGAGATTCTATTAAGGGGGAGGGGGGATAATACATGAGCACGGGGTTCCGTGAAGCTGATAAAAATTGCCTGCTCCAACCCAGGGTTATTAGGCAAAGCTACATAACTCAGATCCTCTGGAACCAACCAAAAGCAAACGCGGAGCTGGTGACACACCTGGGAGGACACACTACAGCTCCGAACTCCTAGGTCACCGGTTCACTCCGGTTCACTCCGGTTCACTCCTAAGAAGAAAATAAGAATAAATTGCTGTTTCGAGTATAATCTATATGGTTCTGTTAGTGCAATTTCTCTGGTGGGGTGAGGTGGGAGGCGAGAGACAAAAATATTGATAAATTTGGTTAGACTCCTGAGTTGTCACTTGGCAACTGTGAACGTTGCCGCTGAGAGACAGCTGTTAATGTTCTCTGCAGAAAACAAGATCTGAGCCGGCACCATGCCGTGCACAGCTCGGTATATTTCTAGACACCAGGCCTGTCTTCATTTGGCAAGCCTGGGAAGCTTCTAGAAACTTCTTCCTGGAGAGAGGGGAAAAAATGAAATAGCTTGAACTCCAGGAGAATGTTTTTATCTGCTTGCGTACCATTTCCTTCCTCCCTCAGATAAGCTGGAACCACAGAAGTGGAAGAGGAATGATATGCAAATTACCTTTGAGTACCTCCACTCTTCAGCCACCCTTTGGGATCAGAGACAATGAGAGGTACCCTTTCCTTCTCCACGCCTCCTTCCAGCTAAGGCCACCAACCGGCTGAAACGCGAAGAGGTCATTAAAAAATATATATATATATGCAAATATTTAAATTTTATGTATTTCAGCAAATCTGCAGATAGACATCATAAGCTCTGACAGTACAAGGCCCAACAGGAAAAGCAATTTATTCAGCAAATTCTCTCAACCCATCTTGTTAGGCTCCTACCGTGTGTATCCCGGAAGTAGGAGAAGCACCCAAACCGGTCACCTTTGATCTCGGCCCTTCAGTTTCTGACAGGACTGATTCACCAGCCACTGCCCAGACATCTGAGGACAGTATCCACTGAGGGTCAGAATTCTAATATTTTCACAATAAGGATTTTTTTTTTTCCTTGTGAAAAACATACAGGGAAGAAAAAGAACTTCCAAATAGGTTAAGGCCTAAAAGCTGTAAAAATAAATTGGATAGCCCAAACAGCCCCCAAGGAATTTTGTTGAGAACACAAATAGATTTCCCTAAAAACTCACCACCAAAATATGCCTGCTTGGTTGCTCGGCTCTTACATAACTAATGTTCTGAGCAAAATCCCCCAAATTCTGTTGCAACAGAAAACATGAATTACAGTGCCGTGTTGGGAGGAGGTGAGTGAGCGTATATGAGTGTGTGTGTGAGTTTATGTGTGTGTGAGTGTGTGTGTGGGTGCACGAGCATACCTGCATTCATATGCTTGAAGCTCACAGATGTCTACCGTCTGGATAGGACAGTGATAAGAATCTTATAAAACTTTTCAGTCAACCTGAAGACACAGGTCATACAAGGTTCCCAGATTCTGTTTATCATCGGTCACTGATCAGGTTATCTGACAAGCCTCAGGCCTTTTCCTCTTTTTTGGGGGGGTCATTTTTAAATGTGTTCAATGTTTTTATAAAAGGAGGGGAAGAGAAGAGGGGAGGAAGAGACAGCAGCAGAGGGCTTCTCTTAGGACTAAAGAGGTGACTCGGTGGTTATGAGCACCGGCTGCTCTTACAACGGACCTGGGTTCAGTTCCCAGCACCCTTGTGGCCACTCAAGTTCTGGCCTCCAAGTTCAGCAGACACACACGTGATACACATACATATACATGCAAGTACTCACGCACACACATTAAATAAGAACATATAAAGTGCCGTATTCCCGTGGTCCGTTCTCCCCTGAATAGAGTGCCAATGTGGAAATGAATATAAAATAACAACAAGGGAATATGCTGAAGGCTATAAACTGCACGTGCATACATAGTTCTAAAGCAAATTCAGTGGTGTCTGTTTTGAAGAGGCAAAAGGCAACAAAAAAATTTTCAAAACTCAACTTTCGGTTTATTTTGCTCCCTCTGTGAGGTGCGAAAATGCTAATTTCATTTTCTCCCTTCCTCTGTGTGGCACTTTCTCCAAATAGCCACAAAATACTTTTAGACAAAGATTGAGCTGGAGGAAGAGATGTCAATCTCCAGCCCTCTGGATGGAGAGCTGCATCTCCATGGCAGGAAAAACTGTGCATCATCTTTAGAATTTCCCGGCTAGAATCTGACCTCTCCATCCAAAGTAAAAGCCACCTCTGTCCTTAGGTTCCCTGTGATGGTGTTAGAAGCCTACGCAGATATATAATTCCCGGTCTCTAGTTAAAATTTCCTTCCAATAGCGATGAACCCTTGGCTAACAGGCCTAGTAGTGCCTCCAAAAGTTATTCATGCACAAGGCGACCCAAAGCTTTTTTTTTGGGGGGGGGGGGGGGGCGTGCAATAGTGGAAATGTTTTATGGATTAGAAATGGCCTGCCTTAAAATGCTAGTACCAGGTGGAGTGATATTTCTGCAACAAGACTGTCCGTTTCCCTTGGAAAAATATATTCGGAGTAAAATAGCTCTTCCAAGAAGTGACACCCTGGCTTGGCACCCTTCAGCATACAAATGACGTGACAATAGCCATACACTGCCATCGAGGGCCGTCTACAGTAACGTCTGTTTGAAGGAGACGATCAAATACAGCCCCTTGAACTGGGTTTATTTGCTTAAAACAGTTTTTGGAAATAAAAGTAATAACTTTTGGTTGGAGCCCCCAGGAGATGTTTAAAAAAAATTGAAAAAAAAAATACATTGCTTTAAAAAAAATCTAAATCTAAGCACTCCCTTGAAGCCTTTCAGGAAATATATTCCAGTATGCTCTCTGAATTATTTTGCACCTGAAACCTACATCTGACTGTCTGTCCCCAGGCGAAGGCTAATATTTATAGAACGAACAATCTCTGATTATGTCTCAACTATAGAGCTGGGTCCAGTCGTATTTTCACTTTCTAAATGACTTCTGGAACATTCCGGAGTTATAAAGGTGTGTGCAGATATGGAAGGACAGAAAGTTCCACCGGTCTGCACCGAAGAAACAATTGAAACAGTGTGGGTCAGTTCCGCCTGGAGAGAAAGCCCGCAGAAGTCAGAGTCGAGACGGCAAGCCTTTGCCTTCCTTCTTCCCGCCGCAAACGTAACAAACGTGCCAAAACGTGGCCTTTGGCTCAGGGTTCTTCCGTGTCATCAAACCCCAGTTTGCTACACACTTTTAGGTCTCTGATGCAAACCTTCTCATCCCCTTGGGCTTGCTTCCTAAGAGCTGGATCCCAGCAGGACAAACCACGAACTTTCAAACCCCTTGAATATCCAAGCGGACCTGTGACGGCCAACTGTTTCTGGTTCTGTAGGAGTCTTCTGTGACAAGCTGGGAAATGTCCCTTGCATCCATTCCAGATTTTGAGTCTATCTTAATTTTTAAAAAAAAAGAAAAAAGAAAAGAAAAAAAAAGTAACTGGGCTCCAGGTGGGGACGGAGGGGTTCAGAAGGATTTTCAGGAACCACGTTTATCCTTGCTCTGGAGGGAAGTGTTTGCTTCCGGAACAGAGGCAAACATTTTTATATTCAGAAAGCAGACGAATTGTTTTCAGAGAAAATGACTGCAGCCATACCTGTAGAATGCTCGGTGGGCGGTCACTACTCTCTCCTGCATGTTGGGTGTACGTTGCTGGTGCACTAGAAGGAGGGGGGACAAACAGGCTGTTCTGCTGGGAACCCTATGCTGTACATACTTGTATATACTGACTCTATCGCCGTGTACGGACGCAGATTTTCTTATATTTACTTGATTCTGTTTCCTACCAGACTGGCCCACAATGCGGGATTGTTTTGCATTGGAGAAAAAAAAAAAAACAAAAACAATATGCTTGTCATCTTTCCCCTGATCATTCACTTCCGATAGCTTATGGAAGAATTAGGGCTGTGTTTCTTGAGAAATTCTAAGAACCACGGCCGTCTGTCTGCATGAGCACCATCCGGTCGCCGGATCCAAGGAGGAACCGATGCCCTGATTTGACTGAGTTTTCCTCTAAAGGCATGCTTTACCCCGTGGGAAAACTACAAACTCATCCATGTAGAACTAGCCTCTTTGCATTTTATCTAATAGTGCCTGGGAAACAAAGAAAAAAATTATTTTAATGTCTTCTTTAGAGGAAGAATTCATAATTGTCAAAATTTGAAACATTAGCTTAATTTTGTTTTTATGACCCCGGGCTTCTGCTCTTTATTTATCCGGTACTGTTGTAATGGGGCCCCAGGCCATTCCTGACATCATCGTGTTCCTCCGCGGCATTAAGGATGTTTTTAAAATTACACAGATTATTGAGCCAACAGGCTGTTTTAATCAAAACCATGTTTCACTTGTTTAGGAGGCTTATAAATTGTCCTTGCAATGAAGAAGACAGGGGAGAAAAAAAGGAAAAAAAAAGAAAAGAAAAAGGATGAAAATAACAAAACCCAAAGTGATCCACTGGGAAGATTATACCACCGTGTGGCCAGACGGCCTCATCACAGACAGGCATCTACTGCCCGCTTCTCTAGGAATCTGGAAAATACTTCCCTTGTTTTCCCAACATCCTGAAACTCATTTTCAAGGCCAACACTGTTTGCAAAGTTCCAAAGGTCTTTGCCACCTCATCACCACCCAAAGGTCCAACTGGGAAATGATCTTCCAGGGGGAAGAATGAATATTTCAGAACAGGCGGGCCTCTTTTCTTTGGTCCCTAGGCGCCACCATCCTGTCCCCACCACCCCTCACTGTAAACAATCAGGTGTGATATCCCTTAGGACCTAAACCAGGGCAACAGCAGCGACCCCATCAGCCCCTTGAGGAATAAAAATGGCTTTGGCATGGACCCACATCAAGCATGTGCCTGCCTGCCTATGCTGCCCTTGCCGGGAAGTTACCTGCACAAAGAGACAGTTTTAATACAATTTTATCACTAGAAATAAATTCTGATGGCGGAAATGAAGAAAGCCCTTAAATTATATCACAAAAGCCATTATTTTTTACATCTAAAGAGTGGGCTTTTTTTTTAAGAGAACTCATTCTACTCTGAGAATGTAATTAAAGCCCTAAATAACTGATAATACTTTTAGCTACTATGAAGACACAGCAGCATACTCACCAGGGTGGTGTGAAGCCCCTTGTTTCCATCAAAAAACTGTCTCTAGGTGAATTATTTACACTTTTAAACTTGATAACTCAGTTTCTGTTTGTAGCAAAAGGGAAAACAAAAGAGTCCCTTTTCCTCCTCCCTCAGCAGGTTTTTAAGACAGACGGCTCCCACTCGAAACCTCACCATGATCCGCCCTGAGAATCTTCCCTGTCGACGTAAAGACCTGGGCATGTTCTCTGAGAGTTTTGCCAGAGGCTTTTCTTCACTGTGACGCTACAGACACTGACCCACAGTTCTGGAATCCTCTGGTAGCGGTGCTAGATGGCAGAGGCACCTCCCGACACCATTAGCTTGGCAGGTGTCCGTCATTTCAGACTTTGGCCAATTTGGGGGAGAAAAAAATAGAAATTGAAAGAGTGAAGATACAGGGGAGGGGAAGCCCATACACACAGATGCACTTAAAACATGAAAAGAATTATTTATATGATAAAAATATATTTAGATTTTCAAAGCACACGACTGAATCGAAGTGCTCTTTTTACGCTTCCTGGAGATGGCACTGCTAAATGTCTTTCTACACCAGGCTTTAATAAATCTGTAATGACATTTGATGGATTGATTTCTGCCTGCGTGTGGTTTTTAAAGATGGCAAGAGAGGAGAGAGGCGAGGGAGAGGGTGTGGGAGGGGGGTAAAGCGCCTTCCCTCAAGGAAGTGGGAGGAGGCAGAGTCTCGGTAGGCCTCCCCTTGCAGTCCTGAAGTCTCACTTCTAGCATCCGCTCTCATTCCACCTGTCAGCGCGGTTCCTTTTTCAGATGCCCGCACCCCAATTCCTTCTTCAGATGTCCGCACCCCTTGCTTGTCATCTGGGCTAGCTCTGCAAGCTCTCCTATCCCACCAGCTGACACCCCAGCAATAAATTAGGACATTTCAACAGAGACACAGGCAGCTGTCTGCCATGCTGCAGATGGCTGCGGATGGCCTCCCCTGCCTTAGAGGGACAGCCTTGATGGATACTCAGTTTCCCTGGGTGCTCACCCTCCATTTTCTTTAATGTCCCAGGAGACTAGGACCGTGCATCACCCAAGCTGACCGAGCAGACTCCAGCCCCAAGCTGAAGCACGGTGTGAGCTGCACACAGGTGGCTCCCAACTTTAGTAGCTGGCCCGCCTTGGACCCGAGCTTGGTAGATGATGATAATCGCAGGGTCACCTGTTAGTCTGATCCCATTGTTGCGCTCCATGTGTGGCTGTCACAGGACAGGACGGGCTAAATACAGCAAGGCAGGGGAGCAGCCGAGGCACAATGATGGGGTGAGCAATCTGGCACAAGTAAAGGGGGGTTTAGTTGTTTGTTTCCTTAAGGGCCTACTATGTGCGTGCTGGGTCTGAGGGTTACTTGGAAAATTGAAACCGGCAGTGGCCTGTGAGAAGCGACAGCTGTCCACGGGGGCTACGCTAGCATCTAGGCTCTGTCCTATGCCGTCTAGGAGGGAAGCGAAGGTCGCCGAGGAAGGAGACACTACTTCAGGTCGCGGATGGGGATGATGGAGGCACAGAGGTGGTCCGGCCAGCCTGAACTCATGGAATTCCAAAAGGAGATTATGTTGGCTATCTGCTCGATTAACTTTTCAAAAGAGTCCTGACAGGGACTGGACAGATGGCTCAGCGCTTAAGCACTTGCTACTCTTCCAGAGGAGCCAGGTTCGATTCCCCACACCCACACAGTGACTCACAACTGTTTGTGACATCAGTTCCAGGGTATCTGGGGCCTTCATCTTGCCTCTGAGGGTATATACCAGCATGTGACCCACAGGCATCCGTGCAGAAAAGATACGTGCACACATAAAATAAATAATGATCCATTTTGAAAGAGCACTCAGAGAAACAAAAGTGGGACAGACAGAAAGGTGGCTTCGCAGGTGAGGCACCTGCTATCGAGCCTGAAGATTTGAGTTTGAGCTCCAGGAGCCAACGGCAGAAGGAAAGAAACAGCTCCTGTAAGGGTGACCTCTGACCTCCAAATGCGCACCTGTCGACCAGAAGACAGTTCCTCACAGACATCCCCATAGGCTAACACAACAGAGACAGTCCCTCCCTCACGATTACAGGTGGTGTTGACAATGAAAGCTAGCAATCACACTCACAGCATGACCAAGAATGACCTTGAACTCCTGACCTTCCAGCCTCTACCTTGAGTGACTGACAGGATGATAGGTGTGCAGTCCTGCACTTGGGTTGGCGGTCTTGATCTTGAATGATCCCCTATCAGTGTGGAAGGTTTGGCCCTCAGCCTGCAGAGCTGTGGGGAGGTGGAAGTCTCTAGGTCATTGCCCTCAACGTGTGTGGCGGGACTCCAGGCCTCACCTCCCGCTTTTGCTTCCAGGCAGAGGTGAGTATCAGCCACTGCGGTCACAGTTACCGCCTTCCTGCAGCCCCAGGAGAACGTGCCCAGGGCATCACAGAGTTTCCTTACCCACAACACTGTAGCTCGAGATGGACCCTTTCTCCTTACCCACAACACTGTAGCTCGAAATGGACCCTTTCTCCTTACCCACAACACTGTAGCTCGAAATGGACCCTTTCTCCTTACCCACAACACTGTAGCTCGAGATGGACCCTTTCTCCTTACCCACAACACTGTGACTCGAGATGGACCCTTTCTCCTTACCCACAACACTGACTCGAGGTGGACCCTTTCTCCTTATCCATGACACTGTGACTCGAGGTGGACCCTTTCTCCTTACCCACAACACTGTGACTCGAGGTGGACCCTTTCTCCTTACCCACAGCACTGTAGCCTGAGATGGACCCTTTCTCCTTTTAAGCTTCTTGTGTCCAGTATTTCATTATTGTGATGGGCAGCTGAATTTCACACAAGAGGATAGAAAAGGCTTCAAGGATAACTGCCACCAGGTGTGTGGGCTCGTGCCTGTAATCCCAGCACTCAGAAGACTGAGGCTCACATGCTCACTTCAAGAGTTCCCCTTACTTGAGCTGCAGCATGAGATCCTGTCTTTTAAAAA